GCGTAGCCACCGCCGCTGCCCCCACGGGAGCCGCCACCTCCGAAATTCCCCCCTCCCCCGCTGTAGCCGCCGCCGCCTCCGTAACCTCCGGAGCCTCCTGCAGCGCCACCGCTCAGGGTCACCTGGTTGCTCTCCACCGCTGAAGGAGAGGATAGCGCAGATGGTCAGAGGGACTCGACAGGAGAACCCAGCCTTACCCACCCTGGCACCTGCATCCTCCTACATCCTTGATCCTTGGTGGCACCAACATGCAGACATATCCTGGCAGTCAAAAGTCCTCCCACCTAAAAAGCACTCCTCCACATCTGAGTAACACATTCTCACCGTTTATTGAATATATATCCTAAAGACGTCTAGCTGCTGCTCATTAAGCATCAAAATTAAGATAAGCAGACCCGAAATCGTAACCACTTATTTCAACTAATTCTTCCACTCTGCAGTGATGTTTTGGTGTTCTCTGTACAGGATTGGAAGCTAAAATGCCACATGCCAGTCCCTGCTGGCCACCTGGTAACCTTCCTCAGCCCTGCCCTCCACCCAGCATCAGCCACTGCTGTCCCTGGACCCTGCTACTTACAGATGCTAACTTGGTTCTGCATCTCTCCCGACATCCTGCAAAACCAAAACACACACATCAGCCAGACCAATGGGACCTGAAGGCCTTGGCTGAAGACACCAGGAGCAGAGACGTCCGTGTGAAGAAACAGCTGTCCCCAAGCCTTGGGGACATATGTGTGCATAGGGCGGTGGTCAGGGGCCAGTGGGGCTAGCAGGAGTTTCAGCCTTGTCATGAAGCTTTTCACCATGGAGGCTGCCTCCCAGCTGCGATGGCTTGGCTTGGGCTATGGACACATGGCTCTTGGGGGCTGGATAATGGTCACAGTGACTTCTCTCCTTCCAACTCACACATCTTCTGCTTCTAAAGCAAATATCTCTGCCCACCCTAGATTACCAATCTTCCCAGAAAAATAGAGAAGATTGTCTTCTTTCCACACAATCCCACTGCTCTACGGCTGCATCCTCAGCTTTAGTTGGAGAAACACAGCTGCCACACCCACCTGCTCTCCTCACACTCCAGCAGCTTGCGGTAGGTAGCAATCTCCACGTCCAGGGACAGCTTGGCCCCCAGCATTGCCTGGTAGTCACGCAGCAGCCGGGCCAGGCTCTCCTTGGACTGCTGCAGGGCTTCATCCATGTCCTGCAGCTTCTGTTTTGCATCCTCGAGGGCCTGCTGTCCTCTCTCCTCTGCATCCGAAATAGCAGAGTGCATCTGTTCGATCTACACCAGAGGGAGTTGGAGAACCACATACATAGGTGCTGAGTTTGGGGGCCTGATCTGACAGGGCGTGGCAGGAAGCAGGCAGCATGTCTGGTCAGCCACCCTGAGTACTCATCCCACCTGCTTCTTGACGCTGCCAATCTCTGCCTGCAGCCTCTGGATGTTGCGGTTGAGCTCTGCAATCTCCATCTTGGTATTTTTCAGGTCGTCTCCCTGTCTCCCTGCTGAGATCTGGAGTTCCTGGTACTAAGGGTCAAAGGCACATTGTGGTCAGCACTGGTCACCCACTGTGAACTCCTCCAGGAAGGGATGTGTCTGAGCTGTTCTCCTCGAGGAAGTTCCAGAGTTAGTCCACATACATCTATACCAAACCTCTTTCACTTGAGCTGCGCACACACACACACACACACACACCCCTCTATACCAAGACTCCCTCATTCCTCACCACTCAGGCAGGCTCATATCCCAGCCAGCAAACAAACCTACTTCTTGATGTTCTTTTTATCTCATTGTTTTACACATAAGCCTGGTCTTTGTCCACACTGGGACCTCTCACTTTTTCCATGCTGCCACATTCCTTCCTATCCTTCCTATCTGCTAATACGCCTTGTCCTGGGTGCAGGACTGCCCCAGACACCCTCAGCCCACTCTGTGTTTGTGCACATTTCTCTGCCTCTCTCCCTCCTCCCCTACTCTCCTATTTCTATCTCTGTCCCACAAGGCATGGTAAAGGGAGAGTTGATTCAAGAGAATCAGCTTTCTGATGTTTCCACCATCTTCCTCCCCAGTCCAATACCAAAATCCACTCCATCCCAGAACATCTGTCTGCAGAATGGTGGTACAGACCAAGATTGGCCAGGCTTGGAATTGGTCATAAGTAATTCACAGAGCATATCTATCGCTCAGTGCCAGCTGTTCAGAATTTGGTGACTTGGCTGTCATGCTTATCTCTTCAACTATAGCCTTCATCATCCAAAAGGGCCCAGGTCAGTTTATAATAAAAAAAGAAAAAAATAACCAAATGCCCAAGGACTTAACTATGTATATGTATCGAATATGTGAAAGTGTAGTCTCATAATGGAATATGTTGCACTAAATGTTGTAGAATATTCAGCATCACAATAAGGTATTCATAAGTGGTAAGTAAAACAGAAAAGTGAAAAGTACAAAATTATATTTTGATGGATAAGATTATGAAACTTTTAAAAGCATTCTAGTGGATAAGAGCAAGGGTTTATAGATAGCCCAACCAAGTTTAATAAGGTTCTGATGCCACTTGCTTAATACAAGGTATAGGGAATCTCACACTCTATTATTTATAAAATGGGGATAACAAAATCCTTACCTGTTGGGATTGTTGTAAAGATTAAATGAAAAAATATATTAAGTATGTGTGTGATACCTGGCACCTTATGAGTTCTCCATAAATGTTAGCTACCAAGAAAAGGCAAAACCGGGGCTGATCTTTACCCATAATTTCTAAAGTTTCTATAACATGTTGTATTGTAGAATTCAAAGGATGATACCAATCCCTGGAAGTATCTGTTTATTTGGGGGTACAAGGCTGGGAGGCCTGGCTCACCTTGGTCTGGTACAACATCTCAGCCTCGTCCTTACTCCTCTGTACGATCAGCTCGTACTCAGCCTGCACCGCTTCGATGATGCTGTCCAGGTCCAGGGTACGGTTATTGTCCATGGACAGGATGACATTGGTGTCGCTGATGTGGGTCTGCATCTGGGACAGCTCCTGTGATACATGGAGCCCAGTGGATTCCTTTCACTCCTCTCCTAGAGTCCTCAGTTTCTCTGGGGAAGCCAGAAGCCTGGGCCAGGGGGAGTCTTGGGAGAAAGTCTCTAAACTGTGTGTAAGAGGGAATGGGAGAGTCCTAACTACCTCAGGTAAAGGTAATGGAGCCCAGACTTAGCCAACAGGGAGAAGGAAAGAGCCTCCCCATCATGTCTGTCCTGCACCCTCCATACTGGCCTTATTCTCACCTGGCTGCCATGAGCTGAGACCCCCAACAAGCATACTAGCTCCTCGAAACCACAAAAGCTCTGAAGCAACAGTAAGGACTCCAGCTGGGGGGCCACTCACTTGACTAGCTGGATGACTTAGCAAGTAATTGAATCTCACACTGACTCAGCATCCTCTGATGTAGAAAGGAGATACTCATCCCACAGGTAGAACTCCTACCACAGCATAGAGCATGTACCCCATCAGACACAGGTGACAGGAGGATCAGGGCAAGAGCATACTGTGCCCCTGCAGTCTGTCTTCACCCGCTCTAAGATCCACATTGTCATCTCCTGCAGAGTTCTCTAACATCAGCTCCCCACCAGAGTACATGTGCTGGAAGGTTTCCGGTTGGTTTTTCTGCGATTGTGTTAATTTTCCAGACAAACTGGATGCCATGAAACAGAGACAACTTCATCTCCTCCTGTCTTTGGATTCTCACTGACCCCATCTGCACTGCCCCACCCAGGAACTCAGAGAATTGGGGGTTGAGAGGATGGCTGACCCCAGATTCAGAGCCGGGGGGCTGGAAAGATGAGCCTCTAGAGGGAAGCGTTAGGTTCCAGGCCTCCCTCTTTCATCCATACCTCTTGTGAGAAAAGAAAGGGGTCTCTCATAAGAGCTGAACTCACCATTTGAAATAAATACTTCAGGAAATTGACCTCTCCAAGCAATGTGTCTACTTTAGATTCCAGATCCGTTTTGCTCACATAAGCAGCATCCACATCCTGAAGAGCAAGCAGAGATGGTTTGACACTGTCACCCAGGAATTTCCTGCCACACTAGCTTTCTGGCCTAGGCAAGTGACAAAGCCTCTCGATTTATTTCCTGGCCGAAAAATGCCAACACTCAAATCAAAGACCTGCAAACCTTGACTAATCTGGCCAGAAAGAGGCATGATACAGACCTCCATACCTCTGCCCGCCACATGCACACAGAGACCCTGGGTGCCTTCCCAGTCCCAAGGACACACAGAACTGACACTCAAAAGCATCAGTTACTTTAACGTCACTTTCAGAAGCCTGGAGAGATGTGAACAGGATGGTTCCTGGACATCATAGCGACATCCATTTCAGATTTCCTAAGATGGCCCCAGAAATCACTCTGCCCATGTCATTAAACATCCCACAGGGGTGTCTCACTCCGCCCCGTCTCTTGTGTCCACAGCCCTCCTTGCGACTTCCCTTTCCCTCACCTTCTTCAGAACCACAAAGTCGTTTTCTGCGCTGGTCCTCTTGTTGATTTCTTCCTCATACCTAGGGGAATCAGGGAGCACAGACATGCTGCAGGGCTGACCTTGGCTCCCTGAGTTGCCTGCTCACCTCCAAAAGCTCAGGTTTCCCCAAACTTTTGCTGTCCTGGACTCAGAGGGCCCTGCTCACAGCACTCACTGGCCCCTGCCAGGGCCTGGCACTCTCACTGCTGAGCTCTGGAGCCAGATCTTGGTTCCCCAAGCCAATAGAGCAGATGAGGACCCAACTTTAAAAAGCCAGAGACACACAGCCCCCAAAATGTCCATTTTTATTCTAATGTTTTACCTTTGTAAATATGTCAAACTCATTTTCTCCATTAAAAACATAAAGTAATTACCACCTTTACTAAATTATTTAAGAGAAAAATTTGCACCTACAATTCTACCACCCAGAACCTAAAGTGTGAGTTTGGTTTTCCTCTTCTGACACACACCTTGGCTCTCCCTGGCACAACACAATAAGTATATCAGGGAGGAGAAGACAGGGAAAAACAACTCTGCCACCTACACAATTGCTCAGGAACAGCTGATCTTGAGTTTGACAACCCTTGTAACCATTATTATTAATAATAGCTAGCATTTATTGAGTGTTGGTGTGTGTGGGCACTGTACAAATAATTTATTAAACATAATTTCATCTAAATCAGCCATGCTCAAAGTGTTGTCCCCAATCCACCAGCATCAGCACCACTTGGTAACATGTTAAAAATGCAAATGCTCTGGCCCCATCCCAGACCTACTAAAGCAGAAACTCTAGGAGTGGAGCTCAGCGATCTGATTTCAGCAAGCTGATGCACGCCAAGGTTTGAGAACCATAGACCTATCTGTCACAATAATCCAACAAGAAAGTTATTATCCCCACTTTAATGTGAGAACCGAAGACATAAAAGAACTCATCAACAGCTAATAAGTGGCACAGCCTATTTAGCTCTGACATCCAGAAAAGCTCCCCTGCCCCTTCCCACTCAGTACAACTGACAGCTCAGCTCCCACCCTGCCAGGGCTGCCATGTATACAATGGTGCCCCCTGCACTGTCCAGTGCACAGCCCACATAACTGCACCTAATGACCCCAGCCCCACCTCTTACAATGAACACTGTCTTGCCCCTTATGAACCCATTTCCTGCTGTGCTGCTTCCCAACCCCTTTACCCTACCAGGGGCCTCACTTGCTCTTGTAGTCCTCCACAGTATCCTGCATGCTCCTGATCTCTGAGTTTTTGCGCATCTGCTCATTATTAAGAAAATCCACCTTCTTCTGCAGCCCGCTGATGTAGCTCTCAAAGAAGCTTTCCAGGTTGCTGTTCTGTGTTGTGGTGTCCACCTGCTGCAGCAGCTCCCATTTTGTTTGTAGCACCTGGTTCTGCTGCTCCAGGAATCGCACCTAAGAGCAAGGACCCCAGGCCACCTCCAGAGTGTGGGTCAGAGCAACTCCCCCACAAGAAAAGGAATCAGCAGCCCTGTTGCAGACCCAGACCCCAAAGAATCAGGATGAGCCCTCTAGGGATCAGAGAGCTTCTCCTTCCCTGGGACCAGAACAACAGAAAGCTATGTGGTTTTCGATGGTGACCAATGGCTACAGGTCAACTTGCCTAAAGTTAACACTGAGCTCACTTTGGTTTTGAAGATACATCACCTCCAATGAGAGCTATGATTCATTCAGCTCCAAATATTTGCATCATAGAATCATCACCTCTGCGGTCCTTTTACCTATGCTAACTGAAGGAAATGGTGTTTCTGAACCAGGAAAACAATAAAAAGCCGAAGTTCCTTTCTCTTTGTGGTTGTTATGCATTAACTGACTGAGGACAGGAGGAAATAAGGAGAGAGGAGCTGTAATTGGGTTTGGAATATTAAAACTAACTCCCAAGCAAGCTTCCCTGCATGCACCCTATAGCCTGACTGCCAGTGTGTTTCAGGAAAGTAACCTATAATGTGTATATAGTGTATATATAGTGTGTATATTGTCCAGACAGGGTTATTTTAATGATCTCTCTGTTTTTAATTGTGTAATATATTCAAGTAAATTTGGGGGTGGGTCAGCAGGTATTTGGGAAACACTCAAGTTGCTCTTTCCTTAATAGCTCAGGAAATGGAGAGTGAGTACCACCCTGAATTTGCACTGCCTCTTTCCCAAAAACTGGATACAAAGGTGAGATACAGGGGCCAGAGAGGTGGCTGGCTGTGCAGACCAAGTACATGGCCTTGGTACTTTACATAATAACAACCAGCTTTTACTTTACCTCTGCCAGCTGCTCACAAATGGAAAAATAGAGCCTCTTCTCACCTGTGCTGAGAGAGATGGTAGTTCTGCCTCCTTCTCAGGTACTGGTGTGTGTCTATACACACATTCACACATACATACACATACACACTCACCCCTCACACTTACACATCCCTCCAAAATCTAGCTCCCTCCTCCAGGGGCTGTGCAAAGAAGCAAACCCACTGCTTTGTGCCATCAGAGCAGAGCCCTGCAGACATGCCTTACAGTGTGGCACTAAGGAGAGCACCCAGAACCCCAGCCCCTGTGCCTACCCATCCAAAGGTCAGCCCTTGGTAACCCCCTTTGGATCATGGCTCTAAGCTGGACAGTGTTCGTGGAGAGCATTATTTCCCCATGACTTGTTCTGCAGGAGAGCTTTATTTCCCATGGCTCATTTTTGCTGCCTTTAGCAAAGCCACAGTTTGGGCAGTCAGCAACCTCTCACAAGCTTGTCAACACAGCCTGTAACACACCTGGGAGGAGCTCCTGCCATTGTCTATTTGTCCTGTGTGGTGGCACGCCCAGAAAAATTTATTCAGTACTCATTCAGAGGCCTGTGATTAGTGGAAGTAGCACTGTGGGGACCAAAGAAAGAATCTGGGGACAGCATCTGTGTGGTGGAGGCCAGATCATAGGGGACCTTGTAGGAGCCTGGCTTTAATGCCAAATGACACAAGAAGCCAGAGGAGGATTTAAAGGGGGAGCTATGGGCTCTGCTCTACCACTAGGAAAAGGCTGTAAGTGGGTAAGGGGAAATACAGAAGACCAGTTCAGACACCAGGGTCAGAATCCCTGTAACTTTTCTTTCCAGGACAGAGCCCTCTTGGTTGATGAATCTCTCCTCTTGGTCACCACAGACCCTGCCCTTAGAGAAGGTCAGGAAGCTGAAGTCTCTTGTACCTTGGCCTCTACCTGTAGCCCTACGCTGTAAAAGTGGACAGATGCTCTGAGAATGACAGGAACCATAATCCAATGAGAGTCTCAGATCAGTACCGAAACCTGTGGTCACCTCACTGACCTCAATCACTTTCTCCCTGCTCCTCCATGCCCCAGCCTTGACCTCTTGGTGGTATCTCCTTCACCTTTACCTGTACCTTCACCTTCTTTCTTATTCTGGTCAAACCCTCTCAGTCTGTGCCTGTGCCTGAAATGTTATATTGAGCCGAATTTCCAATCCAGGGTGACCAGAAGTAGCCAGAAGCACTATGCTTTGCTGAACTCCTTTTTGGTTCCCTCTGGGCTCCAATACTTTCCTCTATACCCCTCCTCCTCTTGCTTGCATACTCTGTCCTGTACCCAGTATTTTTTGCTGATACCAGGCAGCGGCCACTGTGCCTCCATCTCTGAGTGAAAGGCAGGCATAGAAGAAGGTCTTTACCATAGCTGTTCTGCCAGCCTCTGCCTGGACATTTGGACCTGAACCAAAGCTAAGGTTTAGCCAGGAAATAGGGAGAAGAACCTCCACAGCTCCATTTATCCTTTTCTTGGCCCTGGAAAAGCTACAAGGAACTCAAAATGGTGCGTCATATGTTACTGACTTTAGCTCCCAGCAATACCCCAGTCTCCTAGGCCTTGCATGGCTTTCCAGGCTGCTTTCCTGCCTGCCTCCAGAGCTTCATCTCTACTTCTCCCTTCTTCCTTCTATTATGCCATTTTCCCCAGGAATATTAATCTTCTGAAATTCCCAAAAGATGTTTCACTTTCATATCTCCTGGTCCTTCTTCCAGGAAGTGCTCTCTTCCCTGCAAAGCTGTCTGACTCCTCTCCTACCTTCAAGCCTCAGGTCAGAAACAGAACCTCAGAGAAGCTCTCTCAGAATCCAGCAGGCAGACCTTATAGTGCCCTCCTTTGAACTTCTCTGGCCCACTGAGTCCTACCCTTATTAACACACTTCACACACACTTTTGTGTTGATTCACTTGCTTTTAAATGTGGGACTCCTTATATCCTGTCACCCTTATAGTGCCTAGCACATAATAGATGGCGTATAATAAATGCTAAGTAAGTATTTGTGGACTGAATAGGTAGATAGATGAGTAGGTGAATTTATGGGTGTATAGGTGAATGGATGGATGGAGGTCGGTTGTGTGTTTATGTACAAATGGATGTGTGCAATTGTGTAGGTAGAAAGATGGATGGATGGGTTAATGGGTAGATGGATAAATGCATTGTGTGGGTAGGTGGATAATGAATGGATTATGTGGACAAGTGGATGGATGGATGGATATGTGTGGATGGGTGGACAGCTCGAGGGAGGAATGGATGATGGGTGTATGGATGGATGGATGGGCAGACACATGTTGATGGGAGTGTATGGATGGGGTGTGTGTGTGTGTGTATGTGTGTGTGTAAGGCGGAAGAGAAGGATGTGTAGGTAAATGGATAGGTGGATGGGTATGTGGCTGAGTAGATCAATGAACAGATGCATGGGTAGATGAAAATTGAATACTGATGAATGAGAATTAGCTTACTGCACAGTGTATCTGCTGAGTATTTTCACACCCTTTATCTGCTTTCCTGCAAAAAGAGAAAGATAGAAAGAAAATTCCCCCAAGTAGCCTAAAAATCTTCCTAAGGTCTCAGGGCATACATATTTGGAAGTGACTGTCATCATCAAACTGAAATAACACAATGGGGTGAGAAGTTTTGTGATCAATGACTCTGTCTGCCCTTAAAGTACTCACCTTATCAATGAAGGAGGCAAACTTGTTGTTAAGAACCTTAATCTGTTCCCGCTCCTGGATCTTGATCCTCTGAATTTCTGGGTCCACCTCCAGGTGAAGTGGCTCTAGGAGGCTCTGGTTAATGGTTACCTCACGGATGCCCCCCGGAGGATATGAAGGACCAAAGCCCCCAGGCCCAAAATTGCTAGCCCCAAATCCTGCACCCCCTAAACCACCTCCTCTAAAGCCAGCACCTGCAAAGGCACCACCGCCAAGGCCACCACCGCCAAAGCTTCTGCCCCCTCCAAATCCTCCTCCTGCTCCCCTACCCTGTTGGAAACCGCTAGCCCTTCTCCCTCCCAGGGCCATGGAGATGCTTTTACTGCCACCTAGGTTGAAGAGGCTCCTAGAGCCAAACCCTCTTCCATGGCCCCCACATCCACCAGCACCATACCTCCCCCAGGCCTGACTCACAGACCCCACAGCCCGATTCCTACCACCAAAGCCTGAGGAAGACCTGTTGCTATAGGCCCGCCTGCTCCTCGAGCTGAATGCAGATTGAGAACTAAATTGGCGGCTCATGGTTGCTGGAGCAACCAGGGGCACAGACAGAGCAAGACCACAGCTGGAAGAAGGCAGAGATCAGGGAGGGAAGGAGCTATGACTCTCAGGAGAGACCTGGTTCAGTCCCTATATATACACATCAACTGGGCTGGGCCCCTTCAGAACCCTGGGAGGGGAGTATTAATGTTTAGCTGTCAGCCAGTGACATCTGTTTAAACCCTCACACCTATGTGTTGCAGAAGTTACATCGCAGACAAACTTCCCCAACTTGATCATTTATCACTTATCTCTTGCCACTGAGAGATCAGAGTACAATAATCTCTCAGGATCTAGTTACTGTAAACTCCTATACAGTTTGTCCCCAAATTATTAGTTGATGTCTTCCTAAGAGACTCCACTATTTAATTGTTTGTTTGGGGTGTGCCTTAGAGATCTAGTGCACAGCTAGGGGGTTTCTACTTCTGTTTTGTCATTTCCAATCTGTTATAGACAATGTTTTTGTAAAATAAAATGAATTACCCTTTAAAGAAGATTTAAGGACCAAAGACATACAAAACACGTAATTTTTCTTTTATTTTTAGATTCAGCAACCATAAATGGTTCTATTGTTGGAAATAACAATAAATTCCTAAATGGTCACTCTTCAATTCTGTACTTAATAGGAACCAATAATAAAGTACCCATGGACCAGCAATAGCTTATTCTCACATTCTGAGAACCACTGTCCCAGACAACAGGCCTCAGGCAGAGCTCATTTTGTGTTTATTGGTGTCAGCCAACAGAAATGTATGTTTGTTTTCTTTGCTTTTTGACCAGAATGTAATAATAATCTTGTTAAATTTGAAAGGAGAAAATACCTATCCTCAGGATAAATGGCTAAGTGAAGGTTTGCCCACTTGGATAAAACAGAATTGGAAAACAGTTACATAAATGTTAAATGAAAGGATCAGATGGGCCGGGAATTTAGCTCAGTGGTTCTGCTGCCTGCTTCACAAGCAGTAGGTCCCAAGTTCGATTCCTAGTACCACCAAAAAAAAAAAAAGAAAGGATCAGAATACACAATAGGGTGTGTGTTGTGAACTTACAAAAATTAACAGTGTGGATAAGACAGGCTCAAAAAGTAGCATAAAAAGTGGGTAGATCTGTTATAGATTGTCAGAGATTTTTTTTCCCAGAATTTAAAATGTCCTTTCCCCCACCCTGCATTTATGCAGTAAATAAATAATTTTTTCCTCATTGAGTTTATTGGTACCTTTTAGGTATACAGTACAGTTGCATTCATTATCGGGATCTTGTACCTTTACATGACAGGTCTTGGTTCTCATTTTTCCCCTTGTCCCTGCCCTCCCTTCACCCCTCCTCCCTCCCCCTTTACAAATACTTCATTTCCATTTTTTCATTTTTGCATATTTTTTCTTTTCCCTTATTAGCTTTCCCCTACCCTTCCCACTTTCCCTACACCTTTAGCCCCTTTCTTCCTATTTCACATTGTCCACTATATCATTAGGATCTTATGTACTATTAGAGTTTATTCACACCAGAGAAACTATTTGGTATTTACACATGTGTGACTTATTTATTTCACTTATGCATATATCCTCAATATGTATCCATTTTCCTACGAATGAATCTAATTTCTCATTCTTTATGGCTGAGTAATATTCCATTATATAGAAAAACCACATCTTCTTTATCCGGTTTCTAACTGTTGGGCAATTGGGCTATTTCCAAGTTTTAGCTATTACAAACTGCACCACTATAAACATAGGTGCTAATATATCTCTGTGATATGATTCTTTCAATTCTTTTGGAAAGATACCCAGCAGAGGGGTGGCTGGGTCAAATGGAACCTCTACTCCAAGCTCTTTGAGGTATCTCCATATTGATTTCCACAGTGGTTGCACCAGTCTGCACTCCCACCAACAATGGAGAAGGGTTCCTTTCTCCCCACAACCCAGCCAACATTTGTTGTTTGATTTCTCGATAGCAGCCATTCTTTGTGGGGTGAGGTGGATTTTTACAGAAGCTGAGGCAGAAATCATAGGTGCCTCCAAAAGTTGGGGCAGAAATGCCAACTGAGGTGAGAAAGAGTGAGTGGTAGGAAGAAGAGAGGCGGCAGAGCAGCAGGGAGGAGAAGCAGCCTACAGCTGGGAGAGGCTCTGAGGGCAGCTTCAAGTTCCATACCTCCTCATCACCGTCCTCTGTCCTCTGCTTACTGGGTCATCTTTAGGAGATACTGTGGGCTAGAAGAGAGAATGAGTGCGGAATGCACAGACAGAGGAGCTGGTTTCAGCTCCCAGCCCTGTTCCTCTGAGGCTGTGCAATCTCAGGCAAGCACCTACCCTACAACCTCAGCTACTAAAGGAATTGTGGTGTCTGTTTCTCAAAAAGTCAAGGCCATGAAGTATAAAACTAATAGGATGTACATAATACCTTCAGCAAGTGTAAATGTAGCTGCTCACAGATCCTGATGGGGTAACAACTATCCAACTTGCCTAGGATTCTCGATGCTGTGACAACAGTCCTGGGCAAGTCAGAAGAGTTGGTCACCCTAGCCCTGGGCACCTTTGGGTGACTGACCCCTGCTCCTAACCCTAATACCTTTGAGGCTGCTTGGTAAATGAATGAAGCTGGGGATGTGATAAGAAGAAAACCAGTGGAGCCAGAGGAAAGAAAGGGCAGTGGAGCTCGGGATGGGTTAGTGTGGGAAAGCTCCCTGAAGGTGAGAATCCTAAGTCAGGTAGGGACAGAAGAGGCAGAGAGAACAAAGCCAAAGAAGAGGCAGAGATCAGCAGGGAAGTCAATGCAGAGTCAAACAGAGAAGGGTCATAGGTCCTAGATAGGAGGCAAGCGTGGTCTGGTAAAAAAATCCTTGGGTGGAGCACTTTAAAGCCTATCTTTCCCCAAAACTTAGGCATTTAAATCCTTGGGCCTCAGTTTCCTGGCCTGTAAAACAAAGATAATAATAATAATGCCAGCTCTACGAGTGACTCTAATAAGCAGTAAGCGCTCCAAATGGATGAGCACTTCGTTCACTCCAAGGAGCAATCCGAGTGGGGAGCACCTTCCCTGAGGACCAGGGAGTCTAGACCTATGAGTCCTCCTCCCTATGGGCTCCAGTGCTTCCCAGGACCCCTCACTTGCAACCCCAATCATGAAAAATAGGCATCATTAACCCAAATTGCGTCCATCTCTCCTGTCAGCTAAGGAATTAGAATCTCCTAGATTTGGGGACCAAACACCACAGCTCAAGCGCCCCTTTTCACTCTCACAGGTGCCTACCAAGTGCTAGGCAGAGTGAGCCACAATAGGGACTGCCTCACTCAGTTAAAGTGAAGGCCAGCACACAGATGCCATGGGGAGAACAAGAGCTTGGACCCCACCTCAAGCCGTCCTGGACTCGAATGCCAGCTGTGCCATTTGCTAGTTTTTTGACCAAGGTAATGACTGAGCTTTTCGAACTCTGCTTGTCTGATGCTTAAAGCACCTTAAGGCACAATAAATATTAAAATGACTTCTGGTCTCAACAGCAATGGTTACAGCATTGAGACTTGTGAGTGCTATGAGTTTTTAGAGAGAAGCACCTAAACAAGGTATGGCAGGAACAAGAGCCTAGCCCGGGCTGCCTTGAAAAATGTGCGGCAGTTGAGTGGGAGGGTACTCTGCAATCTCATGAGTACTTTCAGTGGGCAGTGGACGGTCTCATTCCATCTAAATACCAGCATCTAAGGAAGGTGTTCTTATTACTATCCTACATTTGCAGATGGAGGATGCAGGAAATGGGGACTGGCGAAGTACCAGGGGAATTCTTTGTGTGCGTGCCTAGAGCGGGAAATGGACACAGTGAGGAGGCGGAGGGGGCAGCCGTAAAGAGGAGGCCGACCTCCTCGAGGGAGGGAGGGAAAAGTAGCAGAGCGGAGCTTGTGGGTCACAGCAGGTACCAGCAAAGCCCTGGAGAGGAATCTGCTCAGCACTCATCCAGGTTGTGTTCGCCCTCATGCTACATATGAGTGTGTATTACATCAGGATGAAATAAAAAAGAGAAGCCCCAGATAGCAAAATCTGGAAAACCTACGTGGCTCTTGGCTGTGACCAGCTGCTAGCATCCAATCCAATACCCCCCGTCTGTCTCCTGTAGGCTCAATGGCCCTTGGTGGGCTGTTGTCACCCTCAGGAAAGGAAAGGTGGAGCAGAGGGTTGCCAGCAAACACCACTAACCAAGCCTTTGGTGGAGGGTGACAGCTATTTCCCATTCCCTTGGAAAAAGAAAAAAAATTACTTAAAGGTAAGCTTGAGAGGTTTTACTTGTCCCAAGGAAGCTATTTAACTTCAGGTCACCAGCAGAAGATGAATAAATTTATCAGGAAGAATAACTACCCCAGAGGGAACCAACCCCTCCACTGCTAGGCCAGCACAGAGCAGTGGTTTCAAAATTGCTACACATCGCAGTCACCTGGGCAGTTTCAAAACCACAAGTCCCCGGGTCCCCCTACATGCTGGGATTCAACAGGGGTACAGTGTGGTCTGGTCCTTAGAGATTTTTCAAAGGTGCTTAGGTGGTTTTAATAGGTAGATAAGTTTGGGGACAACTGGCCTGGAGAAAACAAAAGGACAAATAAAGTGCTCTCTTGAGATTCTATTCAAAGACCAAGATAATAGCAAAGGTCATCAAAAAACTAGTTAAACCTCTCCGTGAGTACATTCTGTGAGCTGTGGGTGGCTCTGTTAAATCTAAATACCATCATAAGGAAGATATTTTTTATTGTTACCCTCACTTTGTAGATGGAGAAAGTGAAATTTGGAGATAGTAACTTGTCTAAGCACACACGGAGGAAAGTTGTGAGATAGAGCTTAGAACCCAGGGCTCCCTCCTCTAGAACCCACTTGCATTACCAAGAAGATGGGGTCCTCAGAGCAGGATATGCCCCTTCCTCCCCTCCCCTCTCTCCCTGCCTGTACCAAGGAGTGCTCTCCTTTAAAGGTAATGAGCAGTCATCTGAAGGCTCTAGTGTGCCCCC